ATGCAGAAGCTCGACTCGGAGATGTTCTCCCGCGGTCGCATCACCCGTGACCGCGGCCAAGAAGCACTTCCCCGCGGTCGTGCTCGGCCTACCCGCGGCCCATGGACATTTTCCCGCGGTCGCGTCTCCTGCAGTCAAGGCCAACCGAAAAAACGTTCCAAAACAGCCCGGTTCAGGTCATACAAGCAGTTGTGCGTCTGATACACCTCCTGGAATGACTAAACCCCTCCATCAACAACTAGTTTGCTCCATCAGCACCCAAAGATCTGAAGACGAAGACAAGCCATTACCCTGCAACATGGTTTTGTCTTGTGAAGATGAGTATGAAGAACAGTACTCTGAAGATGAAGAGTATGGGTTGTTTGTAGAAGATCCAAACGCAGGACACTCCTCAGAAGACAGTACAGAAAACATTCAATGGATCACCAGCAACATCAGTAGGGAGAAGCTCATAGAGTTTAACTATATGGTCAGGACATTCCCTGCTCACCTAAGCTTTGATGAAATCTGGAAGCTTGGTCGTTTGAAAGTCTTTTTCAGGTACTGCAAGGAGTATAAAGAAGATATACAAAGGTACTTTATGCGAGCTCGATACATGACATCACTAGAAGCAGCTGTCTATGCGATCCACCTTCAAAAACCTGAAGAATATAGCCACTACACCAACAAAATCAGGAAAGAAAAGCTTGATGGGTTCAATGATGTAGTTCGAAATTTACCTGAAGGAATCACCTTTGCCAGAGCTTGCAAGGACTTCATGATAGGCCACTACTTCTGTGAGAGTAAGAATCAATTCCTGAAATAGAAGACTTGTTCAATCATGCCAAAAGAGGTAAACATGTTTGAACACTTCACAAAATCGAAGGTGCAGGTCAATTTCTCATCTCTTGTTCTATTAGAGGTGAAATGTTTAAAAACGTGATTTGTGATTCTGGAGCTTGTCGTAACATGATGTCCAAGGCAATTGCTTTGAGACTTGGTACTAAACACCTGCGCAGGACTATAGCAAGGATTAGTTTAGCTGATGATTTCAATGCAACACCTCAAGGAATAGCTCATGACAATTCCTTTGAGAATAGGAGATTGCATCGTGCCTGTCGACTTCTACATTGTCGAAACAAGAGATGCCACACATCTAGTGATTCTCGGATGGTCTTTTCTAGCAACTTCTGGAACTATAATGGACTGGCAAAACTGGAGGATTTCGTTTGTTAATATCGACAAAGATATCTTCACAGAAGTTGTCCCATACAACAGCAAAGCAGGAAAACGTTCTGCAATAGAAGAGTTAGAAGAAGAGCTTTAGAGTGACGAAGAACCTGCTAGGCAAAGCAAGGAGATGTCGAAAAATACTTGTCTCAGGACAAGATCTTCTTCATTGGACTAAGCCACGTCCAACACCAAAGTCGAGCTAAACGACTTAAAACAGAAGCGCTCAATGGGAGGCAACCCATTTAGGTATTGTTTTCTTTAGGATTTTTCTTTCTTTTTCTATTGATCTTTTTCTTTTTCTTAGTTTCAGGTGTTTCTTATAAAACAAAAAAGCCAAAAAAATTAAAAAACCGAAAAAATCAAAAAGAAGGATGGTCCCTGACTGCTCGGCCCAGCAGGAACCAAGGAGAAGCAGGAAACATGCCGCATTTAAGCCCCTGCGGTCGCAGATGTTCTGACCGCGGGAAACAGCTCTTCGACCGCGGCCGCGTCTTTCTGACCGCACCATTTCACCGCGGTCGCGTGACTCCTGACCGCGGCAGATGGTCATTGAGATAATACTCAACCCCAAATCACCCACTTCACCTCATTCCACCTCATTCATCACTTTCCACCACCTTCATCACCACCTATCACCTTCCCAAACCTCTTGGAATGAATCTGGTCCATCTCCACCAGCATCTCGGATCCAGGTAAGTTCTCTTTAGTCTTACCAATTCGATTATCTATGTATTTTTTCTCATCCAATCTCGACTTGTTTCACACAAAGGACAGTGTGATTTAAGTCTGGGAGAGGATTTCATCCCTTTCTAACCACTTTTCTTTCATGTGTCTTGCATTATCTACAATTTTTGCATTTTTCTTAAAGTTTTTCAAAATCGGTTTTTAAAACAAAATACGTTTTAAAGGGAATGGTGAACATGAATCAATGATAGTTGACTGTGTGCTTTTAGACTGTTCCTAGTGACATGATCATTAATGATTTAGGACTAGACTAGGCGGTAGCTAAGCACATTTGAAACGAAGTACCCCAGAGGAATATGAATGATTTCGATTTAGATGAAGGAATACACTAGCTCTGTTTTATTTGGACTTAACTTGGACTTAATTCTCTCATTGAAACATTAGACCAGGGAAACGAATCATACATTCAGGACTTCTTTACCCTTTTTTAGCACTCTCTGTTTATCCTGAATGGCTAGTTCATCTTTAGCTAGTTCCCCACCTTAACCAATCCTCTTTCAAACCACATTCACTCTTGTTTTCTATTGTCTTATATGCAGATATGTGTAAAAACGTTGGAGAGAAAGTGGAACGACGCAGTTTTCAGTCCCAGAAGGATTCAACACAAGAGAAAGCTCAGTTTGCCTTAGAAAAATCTCAAATTTTGATACAATCTTGTCCTCTAGTTTCTCTCTTTAAAAGGCATCTTCTTTTCAAAAAAAAAAAGAAATATCCGAAAATAGGAAACGAAAGGAGAAAAAAGCCGTAGAGAGTCTAGAGAGATCGAATTTTAAGTCCCAAGGCAACTGGAGTTCGATTCTATGGAGTTTTGGAGATCATTTCCTGATTCCCGGAAAGAATCTAAGTTTGGGGGAATATCTGTTCACAACAAAGGAGGAAGGATTATGCAACAACATTGGGCAAGAAGAAAGTGACTGAAAATTGTGGTCATCAACAGGTCCTTATCTCTCTTGCGGTTGCATTTTATCTTGCATTTTCCAGATTCATCAGGTTACCCGAAACACTTTAACTCCACCACTTAAACAGCCCTTTAATGCCATACGCCGTCTACCCTGGATGATGTCTTTAATGAGAATTCACTATTGCACTAAATGAATGTAGAGAGCTAGTTGACTGGAATCAAGATTTAGATTGTTTAAGTTTTGCATGACGGAAAAAGTGGACCAGTGTCTTTTGTGTCTTGGTGAGAATTTTCTAGACTAAGTTGTGGATTGATGCACGATCTTTGGTCCTATTTTAGGAGTTCATGTCTCTGAAATTTATGCATTCCCTATTTTTGTTTTCACTTAACCAGTTTAAACTTTTGTTTTGTTTGAGGACAAACAAAGGTTTAAGTCTGGGGGAGTTGATAACACTGTATTTTGACCACTTTTATGGATCGTTTTGAAATACTTTTTCTATGTTTTTTATTTCTTTCAAATACTTTTATTACTTTTTCTAGTATTTGTAGTTCCAATACTCTTTTTAGGGAACTTAGGGAAAAACTTAACAAAATGGATAGAAGACCAGATTTTCAGCTCAAAGTCAAACAGTCAGAAGTTCACCTCCGATTGAAGGCCTTCTCACCGTCTGATCCAGCTCAAATTTGGAGATCTCAAAGATGGAGGTATCAGCTTTTCAGCACACTTTACAGCTTGGCAATCCAACGGTTCAATCAAAAGATACGCGAAGAGCAAGATGTCTCGTAAACCAGCCGGCAAGCGTTTCCACCCGCGGCCAGCAGCCCATTCGCCGCGGTCATGCACATCCCGACCGCGGCCAGTCATCCATTCCCCGCGGTCACACACATCCCGACCGCGGCCAGCGAACTCCAAATCCGAAGACTCATTTCTGAAGCCCAAAATGATTCCCTCATTTAGAGAAACCGTAAGTGACGCCCAGAGATGTCTTGAGCACTATAAATACATATTTTAGGAACCCTAATTCATATCATCATCTATCATCACCTTTTACATCATATTTTTTTCTTATTGTTTTTATACTTTAGGTTTTAGGGAGAGAGAGATCTATCTCTTAAACCCTTGTTCTTTCTTTTTTAATTTCGGTTTCTGTTCTACTTTTTTAATACTATGTTTTTGATTTCGTTCATCATGTCTGAGTAGTTTTATTGTTGGGTCTAAGGGATTTTCGATGGGATACATATGTGATGAGGATTTCATGAGCTATTGAAGCCGAATCTTAGAACTTTTTCTTCTGAATTTATTTTACTGCATGAGAGTAGTCTCATGAACTACAATCTGATCCAGATGCTTGGTGACACGAAAGTGTTCATCCGGTGTCAGATCTAGTTTTGGAGAGCAAAACAAACATAGGAGTGGAAACCTACCTATGTGCGATTTGTGAATGCTGATGAGTCTTAAACATAATGCATCTCTTCTCTTCCAGGGCAAGAGTGGAAACCTACTGGTCAGGGTTGAGAGAGATAGTTGTCTATGATCACGACAGTGGCGTATTCATACATCTGTGACTCTAGTTCGAAAAGTTTAAGCTAAGATCTTATCAAATTTACTCCTGAGAAAACTTCTTTGAAACCCAGCGCCTTCTTTCCTATAGATTTACACCGATTTTCATTCAAGTTTTAGTCTAGTATTTTCATTCGCCCAATCAATTTTTATTAAAGCAATTAGGTTTAGCCGTTTTTCTCGTTTTTACTCTTTTTTGTTAAGTTTAGTTATTAGGTCATTTTAATTTCCGTATTTTGTCTTTAAGATTAATTTTTACGTTTTAAAGACACCACCAAAACCCTCACAAAAATTGCTTGGTTCTAGACTTCCTTACTTTATATTTCTTTCGAAGGCTTTGCAGGAAAGTTGCTCCTTCCCTGTGGATTCGATCCCTAAGTACTACAATCGATCAGTTGTGCACTTGCGGCTATTGATTTCATTTAGGGTAAAACTTGACACCCACATCGCAGACCAAATCAATCACCGCTTGAAAAGAGTACCGAAACAAGAACAGAGTATTGCGGTCTAGCTGCGATTCCGATAGAAGTGCGATCAGAGCATTCCAGTCCAAGGAGAATCGACCTTTTAGAATATTCTTCATTAGCTTTGTCCAAATTTCCTAGCTGCAGGAGAAAAAGAGGTGATTTCGAGATTCCAGAGCAAGATTACAGAGAATACAGGTGGTATCTGCTGCTGTATTCCAACTCTGCATCCAATCTCCAGTCGAAAGCCGGTTGAGCACGGCGAGCCAAGCAAAACCGAGAACTTTGGGGTAGATTGAGTGAACCAAAGACCCGAGTGCCAAGTAGTTTTTGGAGATGCGGTATGAATGAGGAGCCATGTGTTTCTCGAGTCAAACCGAGGTTTGAAGTATCCCTCCCGATGTTTCCATAAGAAAATATCATCAGCTGCAGGTCTTATATGTGTGAGCTTCGAAGACAAGGCGTTTTCAATCTCCAAGAGCAAGTCATTTTGATGACGTTGCCGTCTTCTCTGCTTAAGCAAGGTGACTGAAGCGGTTAAGGGAATCCCAAGATCAATTGGACCGCGGGGGCCAACGAGATCAAAAATATTTCCCAAATCAGACCAAGCATCGAACCAGAAGCTTGTTTCTTCTCCTTTACCAATATCCACCTTACAGAAAGAGCTTGCAAGGTGCCGATACTTGAGGATCTTGTGCCACATCCATGATCCCAAAGTAGAACTCTCTTTCTACCGAAATTTTCCTTGGCGAATAAGGTACGTTTGGATCCACTGCACCCAGAGAGAAGAATGAGAGGAAACAATCCGCCAGATCAACTTCAAACAGCTAACGGTATTGGCCTCTTTGAGAGGTCTGAGCCCTAGACCACCTTCAGATCTCAGCTTACACACATCCTCCCAAGAGAACTTTGCGCTACGGGGATTTAAATCTGGACCAGACCAAAGAAAAGCCGAGCAAAGTTTTTCAATGTCCTTGAGACATTCTCCCGGAAGTCTGAAAGCGGCCAACCAGAAATTACTGATGCTGTGTAGAACAGAGCATATGAGTTGCAATCTTCCTTCAATGGAGAGTGATCGAGCAGTCCGAGAGCTAATCCTCTTGCCGATTTTCTCCAACAATGGCAAATAATCCTATCTCCTCATCTGCTTTGTAAGTAAAGGCAAACCCAAGTAGCGCACAGGGAGTTGTCCAGTTTGAAAGTGAAATCGCTCAACGAGCTCATCCCTCACAGCCTCCGAAAACCTTACAAGATAGATAGTGGACTTCTCCATGCTTATCTTAAGGCCTGATATTCTTGCGAAGTCATCAAAAACCTTAACAATACCTTCCATTGATCTCAATTTTCCATCAGATAAAACCATGATACCATCGGCAAAACTAAAATGAGTAAGGCCGATATTTTTTCATTTAGGATGGTAACCAATCGCTTGAGCACTTGCAGCTCTGTCAAGTAGTTTCGAAAATACGTGCATACTGATGAGGAACAAATACGGTGATAGTGCACAGCCCTGTCTCAAACCTCTCTTGCTACGAAAGAAACCAGCAAGTTCACCATTAACCTGAACTGAAAAAGAAGCTGTAGAGATGCAAAGGGAAATCCAATGGATGAAAACTCCGGGAAAGGTCATAGTTTGAAGCGCATTCAAATTGAAAGACCATTGAACAGTGTCGAAAGCTTTCAAAATGTCGATTTTGATAGCACAGCGAGCAGGGGCCGAATCCTTATGATAGTCTCTAACCAATTCTATCGCAAGAAGAAGATCTCGATCAGCAATCTATCTTGAACAAAAGCAGACTGTTTCATTGCGATGAGATGTGGAAGAACTGCTTTTAATCTGTTGGCAATGATTTTTGAACTGACCTTATAAAGGACATTACAGAAGGATAATGGCCGGTAGTCTCTCATTTCCACAGCAGACGTTTTCTTCGGAATCAAAGCAAGGATCATTATGTTAACCCCTTTTGGCAGAAAACCTTTTTAGAAAAAAGATTTAACTGCGATAGTGAACTCTTTCCCCACAATAGACCATGTTGCTTTGTAGAACTCCATATTATACCCATCAGGACCAAGAGATTTGTTGCTCGGCATGGAAAATAAGACTGATCTGACATCCTCATCTGTGACAATCTTGATAAGATTATTACCTTCCTCTTCCGAGCATCTGTACTGAATCAAATTCTGAAGATCTGCCGTCAAAATACCCTCATAGTCAGTAGGAATATGCTGTAGAAACTCAGAAAAGAAACCTTCCGCCTATGCTTTAATATCTTCAACAGATGAAACCACAACACCATCACGATGTTTTATTTCCCTGATGGTATTTGTAGCTTCTCTGGACACAACTGCTTTTTGAAAAGTCTTGCTGTTACCATCCCCAATCTTGAGCCAGTGAATCTTGGATCGCTATTTAAGGAAGTTTTCCTCAAGCTTCGAAATGAAATCCCAACGCCTGTAAGCTTCCGTCTCCTCCTCCACCCTTTGAGGTGAGAAGCGTTCGCATTCTGCTTTTCACATAGAGTCTCATAAACCTCCTTCGTCTTACGAGAAAGATTTCCCATTCTGTTCTTTGCCAGAGAACGGATTAAAGGTTTCAGGGCCTTTAACTTTTTGGTGAAACAAAACATGGAAGACGTGGAGGAGAAGATAGGTTGTGTATTTTCCCAGAAGGACTGCACCATCGGCAAAAAATCATCAAGCTCAGCTACAGTATTTACAAACTTGAAAGGGTTATTCCCCTCTGCTCTGCCTGCCTCCAGATGTAACCGACATTGTAAGTGATCTGAGCATCCTCCAGCCTCAAATACATTATACGAGTGTGGGAAAGAAAGATCCCATCTAGTGTTTTTCAGAACCCTGTCAAGCTTTTTCGAAATTAGGCTTGTGTCTCGTCTGTTGCACCAAGTGAATAACGGACCATGATAAGCCATTTCCTCTAGATGACAATCTAGCACCAGATTTTGAAAATCCCGCATACCCGAAGTGATGTTTGGAGAGTTTTTGTACTGAGAGTGTTCCTCTCCTTCTAAAATCTCATTGTAATCTCCAAGACAGATCCAGGGTCTGCTGTTTATGATTGGAGAATTATGATGATCCCAAATGTCACTCCATAATTCTCTCCCCTCCTCAGCAAAGGTTGAAGCATAAATGAAGGAACAAAAGAATTACTCGTCTTTATCTTCAAGCTTAACCGTTACTGTGATCATCTGACCACTTTTGAAGAACAGAGTCAATCGCGTCCTGGGGCTCCACATCACCCAGATTCGACCAAGACGATTGAACTCAAAATTAGTAATAACCGACCAGTCTCTACAAACTGAAGCTGCTACCCTCCCAGCTTTACCCTCTCTAACTCTGGTCTCCAACAGAGCACCAAACTGAAAACCTTGATTCTGAATCCACCTACGAACAATGGAATGTTTAGTTGATTTGTTTAAGCCGCGGACATTCCATACAAGACCCGACATCTATTGGTTTTCATTCTTTGGGTTCCTTCTACTCGAAGTATTAGGTTTTGATTCCTTAATACTTGGAGGAACTTGGTCAACCAACGATTTGTTTGCAGTTTTCGACGCTCTGGGGAGTGGGGGACGAATCCCAGTAACCTCAGTTTTATCTCGCTGCATTCGCTTCTCCGTTTGGCAGAGAGCCGCTTCCTCACCCAAAACACCTGACTCATCACCATTACTAGAAGAAATATCATCCTTTGCCTGCTTATCAGATGGTATTTCCTCTTTATTTACTTCATTCTCGGTACCAGCAAGCACTAAGAATCTCGAAGGAGAAACAGAGACATCAATAGCCACTTGCTTCTCTGCTTGTTTGCTTACTTTTTTAGGAGAACACCATTCTCCTTCCTCTTTCTCTGTCTCAGCTATAGTATCAATGCCGGCATCTGAGACCGGTTTTTCCCTAGCTGGATCAACCTCTGATGAATTCTGAGAATTCGAATCACTACTCTTGCTCTGAGAACTCCCATTCATCACTGGCTCTTGTTCTGAGACAGCCTTAGGCATTGCCACCGTATTCGTATCATCGGGCCTCTGATCAATTGTTTGTCGTTGAAGGATAGTTTTCGGTCCATTCTTCATCGTACAGGCATCTCCCATGTGACCCCATTTAGAGCAGAAAGTGCATCTTGGAAGGAGCCACGGGTATTCAAATTCAACCACCGAGTCTATGCCTTTATCTGAAGTGAATTGAAATTGAGTTGGTAGCTACTTCGATAAATCGGCTTCAACAAAAACTTTTGCCTCATCAAAAGTCTTGCAAATTTCAGTATCTGGATGAAATCCTAAGCCTTTCTCATGGAACAACTTGTGAGGACGTTCTTGAGACAGACCCATATTGGCATTGACTTGATCTCCGGTTGAGCTTCCTCCACCACCGGAGACCATTTAGAAACCACCATTGGAACATTTGCAATATTCCACATCCCTCTTCTCAAGATCCGATTACAGGTTGCAACGTCTCGGATTTTGAACTTCATTGTAGTCTGATCAACTATGAACACATCAACTTTGGTTTTCAATCCAAGTGGCCAAATTTTATTCACGATAACATGAACTTTAGCTACATGAGGAGCCGCCGATAGAAATTTCCCAACCAGAATTTCCTCCCACAGAGGAGCTGAACCTTTAATGATATCATTCGGGATATATACCATCAGAGAACCCTCAACCATGGATATTGATAGATCATGTTTTGATAGCCCTATTTGTTTTGAACAATAGATGAGTAGAGCGGCTTAGTAGGAGGCTGCGAAGACGTCTCTGGATCCGTTGTATCCCCAACACGAGACTCGCTGGTGACAGATGATGTTCGGAGGAGGAGGCGGAGAGCCCGGTGCCGCCATGCTTGCGGCCGAAGAAACTTTGAGAAACGAAAACCCTAATCGCCTTTCCTATCTCCATGCCACGTCAGCAGAGCCTTTTTCTTCCACTAATAGATTCGAAGCATCCACAGAAATTACCTTTCCTCATATCATTGCAAGGCCCCATAAGATGTTCGTAGATCAAGGGTACTGACACTCCCTCATGGGCTTCATCAGAATCCTTGGTCGTATACTACAAGATTAGGAAGAAGAAAAGACAAAGAAAAGTTGGATCTAAAGCGTCAACAGCGACGCTCCTTGCAATTCTTTTTCTCTCTTCAATCAAAAGTCTTTGTTAATCTCATATTCCCAAAGATGCTCTGTATTAAAAATTTGTATGTACATATTCTAATATCTGCGTTGAAATTTCAGATACGACTTTTTTTCTCTCTTCATGATACGTAGATTAAAGATTAATTATTCAAAATTTAAAATACTTATGGTCCATAACTCCACATGCCTAATTTGCCTAATCTCGCTTTCTCATATCCATCGAATAACGATTATAAAAAGAAAAACCATTATCATAATTGATCAAATTGAAAGAATTCATACCGATTTATAACAATTTATAAATACTAATTACCAAGTCGATTGTCAGGATTCATGCAAATACTGAATTAAGTCTAGATTTTAGAGTTTGAATATACTTGGATATTCTACAGCAGGACGGAAAAATCAGATAGGTTTGAGATTGTCTTAGCACTCCAATTGTCTACCTCTACTGATATCAACACGCGCACAAATTGGATTTAAACGGAATGCTAGTACCGTAGAGATCAAATCTCAAAAACCAACGAACTGTTCGTCTTTTCTTCTCTCTATGAATTATTATTTGCTTGTCATACAAGCAACAGATATCTTATTTTTAATTGGTGTTATGGTTGCTGATATCTTCTACACGGCCACAACTAGATATTGTTATATATATACTCACACACGTAAACCCTAGACACTTTAAGATTCATTCATGTGGGTTGGGCTTAGTCTAATTCTTAATTAAACCATAAGTTAGCCTTTATTATATGTGTGTATTTAATAATATATCTTTTATATATTATTCTTATATATCACATTTCCTAAACCCAAATATTGGTCCAATCTATATAAATCTCATTAATTAGTGATCTAATTTGTTTAAGTGTGTGATCCTGTAAGATCGTATAATATTAGCAATGAGTTTTCAACTCATAGATTATAAGCAGTCTCTAGAAAAATATTATAACCACCTAACATTATACGATTGTCAAATCTCGACAATATAACTTTCACTAGAGTAAAGTACAAATGATTTCAGGACATTCCCAACAATCTTCCACTTGTACTAGAATCATCTATTCCTATAATCCTTTTGTATCTATATCTCGATCTTAGCATAAGGCAAGAAATAGTGTCATCTTTATCAAGCTAGATCACGTTTATCAAACTTTGATTTATACTGATTAAACAAACGACTGACATTCACCTCGTTTGAGCGCGGCCACGCATTTTACAGTATAAAATCTTCGATAGGCCCAAAGATATTTATCTCCTATTATATGGGAGGAACAAAACCCATCTTGTTCCATTCCTGTACCTTACACAGTTCATAATGTGTCCGATCACTGTCTCTATAATCATCTTTTACAGATGACGTTTGACAAAGTCAAAGTAAACAAATCAAACTCAGGTCAAAGGACTATACCCTATAGTTGTCATGAGAAACTCTTATGACACTCATATAACAATCTTGTAGAGTTCTCATAGCAGGTCAGTCCAATCATGTGTTCCCCAGCACATATCTATGTGATTGACTTGATACGATATATCAATGACCACGAAACTTAGTCATCAGTCACCTCACATACTAGTCATTAATAGTTATTAAAGTCCCATTTTAATAACCTTGACTAGGGACATAAATAATTTAATTCATTTTCCACTCATAAGGTTTCATGATCAAGTCACGTACTTGATGACCTATAAGAATGATATAAATGATTTTGGGACTATTATTTAATTATCTAATAACCAAATAATTCTGAAAAAAAAATTATTAATTTAAAAATAAAATCAAAACATGAACATCATATCATAAAGGAATTAAAACCTCCCACTGAAAATAAGATTACATCTTTATGAATCTAGTGCCTATCGCAGCAGTATGACTCTCATGCTTAGGCTGCGGAAGAGGTTTCATAAAAGGATCAGCAACATTTGCATCTGTTGGAAATCTGCTAATCTTCACATCACCTCTATCAACAATCTCACGAATGAGGTGATATCTTCTTTGAATATGCTTGGATTTTTAGTGTGATCTAGGTTCTTTTGCTTGTGCAATGGCTCTATTGTTATCACAGTAAAGATCAACAGGGCCAGAGATGCTAGGAACCACACCAAGCTCAGCAATGAACTTCCTAATCTAAACATCCTCCTTAGCTGTTTCTGAAGCAGCTATATACTCAGCTTCAGTTGTAGAGTCTGCCACAGTGCTCTATTTAGAACTCTTCAAACTCAATGCTCCTCCATTGAGACAAAAGAAAAATCCCGATTGTGATCAAAAATCATCCTTGTCAGTCTGAAAGCTGGCATCTGTGTAACCACTCACAACAAGTTTCTCACTTCCTCCATAGATAAAAAACTTATCCTTAGTTCTTCTCAAGTACTTAAGGATACTTTTAAATGTTATCCTGTGACTTTCACCTGGATCAGACTGGTATCTGCTATCTGGGCGAGTGCAGAGCATAGCATACATGATAGATTCTATAGCAGATGCATATGGAATCTTACTCATGCGCTTTCGCTCATCATGTGTCGAAGGACACTGAGTTTTGCTGAGAGTTATGCCATGAGACATTGGTAGAAAACCTTTCTTAGAATAATGTATATTGAACCTGCGCAAGACCTTATCTATATAAGTATCTTGACTTAGTCCAATTAATTTATTTAATCTATCTCTATAGATTCTTATTCCAAGAATATAGGCGCCTTCTGCCATGTCTTTCATTGAGAAACAACTACTTAGCCATGTCTTAACAGACTGATGTAGAGAAATATCATTCCCAATGAGTAGTATTTCATCTGCATACAATACCAGAAAATCAACTGCGCTCCCACTAGACTTCTTGTAAACACAAGGTTCTTCTTCGTTTCTAATGAAATCAAACTCTTTGATTGCCTCATTAAAACGAAGATTCCAACTCCGAGATGCTTGCTTCAAACCATAAATGGAATGATGAAGCTTGCATACTTTTCTAGCACATCCAGGAGCTGTGAAACTTCAGGTTATGTCATGTACACATCCTCTTCAAGATTTCCATTAACGAAAGCTGTTTTCACATCCATTTGCCAAATCTCATAATCATAATAAGCGGAAATTGCTAGGAGAATCTGAATGGACTTAAGCATTGCGACTGGAGAATAGGTTTCATCATAGTCTATACCATGAATTTGCTTGTAACCTTTAGCCACCAATCTAGCTCTGTATATCACTATATTATCATCCATGTCTGTTTTCTTCTTGAAAACCCATTTACACTCAATGGCTTTAACACCATCAGGTAAATCTACCAAAGTCCAAACTTTGTTTTCTGACATGGATCCCATTTCGGATTC